AATTATATTATAATATTATATAGAGGAAAGTCACCGATATCGACATACCACTTTGTTTTTAGCCAATGTTTAGACAATATTTCTAAAACAAAAGATAAAAATAAAATTTTAAAAACATAAGTACAAACTAAAAAGTGTCTTTCATCAGATAGTATAAGCAAATTTTATAAAATACTATATAATACTATTTGTAATTTTGCAATAATTAATTTTTTCATAAGGTAAGCAAAAATGAGTGTGACGAAATGGACTCCAAAACTGACACAATAGGCAATAATGCTACGTATTCCTATTCTTTTTCTTTTATAAGAATCTGTACCTACAAGTGAATGTATATAAGATATTCCAGAATCTTTTCACTTCGTTATAAAACATTTTTATTGAATTATATGCATATTTATTTTAAACTGTCCTGCAAGATGCAAATATGTAACGCGATAGTTTTTCAAAAATTTTTCCATATATGCACGATTGTCTTCAGCTCCAATAGAGCTATTTGACACTATAAAGCAACATTATAAAAATTAAATTAGCTCATGATCTTTACAGATGTGGCGGTTAGCACCCTAATTTTAAATTTTAAATCGTATTATGAAAAAACTGAGAAAAAATAACAAATAAAACTGATTTAGGAAATTACACAAGCATTTAAAATAAATAAATATAATATTATCAATAATATAGTCACTATTATTTAAACTACGTAATTTGCAAAAAAAATCGTAAGAATTTTATTTTCGCATTCAAAGAATTCGTTTTTAATATAGAAACAAGCCACAAATACATGAATTATGAATTTGTACTTCTTCTAATTAGCTAAACAGATCATGATTTTATTAATATTAATAAAGTGTAATAATTAGTTTCTGAAAAATAAGATGTCATTTTACCATATGTTAATATCGGCGACTTTCCTCTATGATTTTATATATAATTATGTATAATTCTATATAATTATATAGATATATGTATATAATATAATATAGTATATATTATATATATTATATAAATATATAATAATTATATTA